TACAGCCGAAAAACTGCTTGTTTTTGCAGGCAAATGCTACATATACTCCCCACTCCCTCCGTGGAAGAGGGGAGTAAGTATTTGGGACACACACATACATGACATCTTATTGTTCTGTGTCAGATAACTTATCAGATGTTAAAGGTTCCCCTCTCCCTTCTGTAAATGTGCATGCTATTGAGGGCTGAGGCACTTTTTTTTCCTTTTCCACACGTTAACAAGAAAATAATAAAGACCTCAAACCTTGGATTTCTGCTGTTTGCCCCTTGAGCTGACTGAACAATTGAAATAAATAATTGTTGGCTTATAAAGGGAGAGCAAACACATCTGGAAGATGAACCCTTCTGCACATCTGTCTTCATTACTGTTTGTTGTTTTATCTCCAGACAGGTTTTATTTCAACTCAAACTAATTTCTCCTATTTTCATGGCTCCTAGTTTTCCTCTAGAGAAATAAAACATGTACACCACCAATACAAAGCATGCCAAAGCAGAATTAAGCTTATTTGAATTGTACAGGAAGACGCTGATGTCAAACAGTGGCGTACTGAAGTAGCGATATTAAAAAGATAATCACTCCCATTGGCACACTTAGCTATTTTTTTTCCCAAGCTTGCTCCAATGCGAGTATATCTAGTCCTAATGAAATGCAGATTATATGTCTTGTGGTAAAATTACCACCTCGAAAATTATTTGCATGACGAATTATCAAGACTGCTTTTAGCTCGATCGTTATGGTACAGTTGCAGGCACATAGGCGTTTTCTTTATGCACATACAATGGGGGTAATTGCCATTCTGGGGACTAAAACTGCTGCACCGAAGTCGGCTCTCAATATAACAGCCTGTCATTTCCAAGATTTCACAGATGTACAGCGTCTGAATGCAGCTCCAGTAATTGCCGTTGGCATTGTGTTCCTGTTTCAAGAGTTTGCAAATATGAAACCATTAAAGACTGTAATTGCCCCTAATGCTCCCATGAGAGCTAATATTTTTGTGCCAGTCGTGCATGTGTGTGTGTGTGTATAGAAAAATAATTATAATGATTTGGTTCTTATTTTTTTTGGTTCTGTCCCAAATGGGGGTGACAGGAGTCAGATTTGGCTGTATCTGGTGCCAGGATGAATGGACCCTTTCACCTGTTCCAGCAGCAAATCTGCAACGAAAGCGAACTTGATGTTCCATCTATTGATTAAAATAAATAAGCCTCTATGTCTATGAATCAGTTGAGCCTGGTCAGGATTTATGAGTGAGATCTGAACCGCTCTAGAACAATAAAATGTTCATAAAGTGACTTCAACATTACTCAGTTTTATCATGCATTGTAATATTTTCCTGCAACAGCTTGTATTTACGAGCGCCAAATAAGTCATGTCCTCGTATTTATAAGAGGTCATTGTTACCAGTGGTATGCCTGTAAATGCAGCTGTTTAATCTTCATTAAAGTGCTCTCTGCAAATACTGAGACTTTAAAACTGATGACAAGTGGTCAGTATGAGTCTGTTTACAATCCTGCAAAGGTTAGTCAGTAAAATGGGCCATAAAGTCATTGTGACATCACTCCTGCACTGGAAAAAATCAAAATCTAGATAAGTCATTTTTTCTTAAAATAAGTGAATTTGTTCTTGAATTGAGGAGGTAAAAGAGACATTTGCCAATGGAACAAGACAATTTACACTTAAAATAAGAAAACACAATTGCATTGGCTTATTTCAAGTGCCTTTTATCTAAATATCTAATTTTAAGAGTAAAAATACTCATTCCATTGGCAAATGATCTCATTTACCTACTCAAATTAAGGTTAAATACACTTAATTTAAGAACTTTTTTAATTATTTCTAGGTCGTTTTTCCAGTGCACTGGGAAAAAAAAATCAAAATCTAGATAAGTAATTTTTTCTTAAAATAAGTGAATTTTTTCTTGGATTGAGGAGGTAAAAGAGACATTTTGCCAATGGAACAAGACAATTGACACTTAAAATAAGAAAACACAATTGCATTGTCTTATTTCAAGTGCCTTTTATCTAAATATCAAATTTTAAGAGTAAAAATACTCATTCCATATACCTACTCAAATTAAGGGTAAATACACTTAATTTAAGAACTTTTTTAATTATTTCTAGGTCGTTTTTCCAGTGCACTGGGAAAAAAAAATCAAAATCTAGATAAGTAATTTTTTCTTAAATTAAGTGAATTTTTTCTTGAATTGAGGAGGTAAAAGAGACATTTTGCAAATGGAACAAGACAATTTACAATTAAATTAAGAAAACACAAATGCATTGTCTTATTTCAAGTGCCTTTTATCTAAATATCAAATTTTAAGAGTAAAAATACTCATTCCATTGGCAAATCATCTCATTTACCTACTCAAATTATACACTTAAT